GGTGGAGGACAAGCTAGGTGCGCGCGCGTCATATCTGACGTCCTACCCCTCCCTCCCATCCCTTACCATGGCGCTGATTTTCTCTATCCGCGGACTAGTGGGTGGTGGTGCGCGTGCGTGCGTGCGTGCGTGTGTGCGTGGTTGTGGTGGTGCTGGTGCTGGTGCTGGTGCTGGTGCTGGTGCTGGTGCTGGTGCTGGTGCTGGTGCTGGTGCTGGTGCTGGTGCTGGTGCTGGTGCTGGTGCTGGTGCTGGTGCTGGTGCTGGTGCTGGTGCTGGTGCTGGTGCTGGTGCTGGTGCTGGTGGTGCTGGTGCTGGTGCTGGTGCTGGTGCTGGTGCTGGTGCTGGTGCTGGTGCTGGTGCTGGTGTGGTGTGGTGGTGTGGCGTGTGTGCGCGTGTGCTGTGGCATGGCACGGGAAATGACGCCAGCGCTGCAGCGGGAGCACGAGTCGAAACGGGCGGAAGCGCGGAAATGAGGCCAGCGCTGCAGCGGGAGCACGATTCGGAACGAGCGGAAGCACGGAAATGAGGCCAGCGCTGCAGCGGGAGCACGATTCGGAACGAGCGGGGCCCGAAAATGAGGCCGGCGCCTCGGCGAGAGCAGCATTAAAAAAAAAAACAAGCGAAAACCCGTTTCCCGGGAATCCTGTGTAAAAAAACAATACGCGGGGGGGTGTCGGATATCTTCGGGACGCCATCAGGGGAAGTGGGAGAGTATTTTCATATTGTGTAATTGTGGAGGAGGTGGAGGAGGAGCAGCGCAGCGACCAGCTGAGTCAGGATCGGCCGAATTACAGGGGAAAGAGAGGCAGGAAGCCCTGCTAGGCATATGACATTACGGTAGCGGGACGACGGGGACAAACAGCTCTAACCCGGCAGGAAGAAGCGACTCGTCACCAGAGAGGGGGTCTTCGAGACCCTGGCCGGCCCGCAGGCGGGCCTGATCTTCAACCCAGGCTGTCAGCTCCACCACCTCCTCCCACGAAAGGCCAAAGCGCGCCGGCCCTCTCTTTGAAGGTCAGGGCGCGGGCTCGCTCCAGAGGGGATCCCGCGAGCGGGCGGAACACGGACGGCCTCAACAGGCCAGCACCAGCAACGTTAGCCAAGAGCCTCGTGACACGGCCATGGCTCCAGACGAGGGGAGGAAGACCTGTTGCGCTTCTCCAGGAGGCGCAGGACGCGCCAGCAGTCAAAGGGGGGCCTGCGCCCGCGCACTCTCACTGCCCACAGCGAGGAAGCCCAGGTCCTGGAGAGCCCACTGCTCCAGGACTGCCTCCTCCCCCCGGGCGCGTGGATGGAGGCCTTGCTCGTAGCGGCTCCGCCGCTGGCGATGTGGCGGGTCAAGCAGCAGGCGGGAGGACGGTGGACAGGGAGAGGAGGAGCAGGACGGGCAGCGGGACGAGGACAAGAGGGGAGCGGGACGGGGGAGGAGGAGGGCGGACCGAGCGGGAGCCAGGAGTAGCACTCTCGGGGAGGAGGGGGAGAGCATCGGGGCAGGAGCAGAAGGGCGTTTTGAGGAAGGATGGGGGGGAGACCAGGACCAAGACCAGCTGATGGAGTCCCCGCTGCCCCTGCTATACTGTGCAACAGAGGTGGTCTCGTGACTGAGCGCCACGCTGAGACAGCTGTACTCTGAGAGGGGTACTACTGATCAGATGGGGCCCCTGTGGCCGCACTTCGCCGCGACTCGTCAGGAGGATGAGGAGGTGGAGGAGGATGAGGAGGAGGAGGGTTTCAGGACGAGGGGGGAGGAGGAGGAGCCGCCACAGCGTGCCAAGCTTCAGGCCATGGGGTGGGGCATACCTTGAGGCGGGCGAGTGCAGAGGTGGATTGGGGGCCTCGAGAGCAGGCGGGAACGGGCTCCGAGCACGGCCGGCTGCTTCATCCAACCACAGTGCCCAAGCCGCGTGTTTCTAACGGACATGCGGGCCGGTATCGTGGCTTTGCAGCCTCGCCAGATGCTCGGCCCAAGCGACAGGCCAGGCCGTTCGAAGTAAACGGGATAACCTAAGCGCATAAAACAAGATTAGGGAGTTCATGACTGTCGCTTGGTCTTGGGGTCACTTGGTCGCATATGACAGCAGGTGCTCAGGCTCGTCTGTGACACATGTCTACGTGCAAGTTCCACTGCGTCCTCCTCCTCCACCTCCTCCTCCACCTCCTCCTCCTCTTCCTCCTTCTCCTCCTTCTCCTGCACCTCCTCCACCTCCTCCTCCCCCTTTTCCACCTCCTCCTCCTCCTCCACCTCCTCCTCCTCCTCCTCCTCCGCCTCCCACCACTTCCCCCCCCCCCCCGCACCGCTTTGGAACTTCTCGGGATCGCGGAGCGCTTCCAAACCCACGGGCCCCTGGCAGACGGCGGCAGGAGGGCGGCGGAGTTCGCAGGGCTCGGGCGCGGCAGCCGGCGCCTGTGAAGGGAGGGAGTCGGCGGCGAGCTAGGGGGGGGAGTGAGAAGGAGAATGCTTTCTCAGCTGGCGGCGGGACTTCTCAGAAGCCCTCACGCCTTCTGACAAGTTTCCAGCGTTTTTAAGGCTTCGAAAACTTCTCAGAAGGCCGGGACACTTCCGAGCCTTCTTGGAAGGCCTTTATCCTTCTCACTTCCCCTCTGCCCGGGCTCGCCGCCGAGCTCGGGCGGAACTCCCGCGTGGTGGAGATGGGGAGAACGACGTCCGGGCAAGCTGTCCGAAGATGCTGGATGGGGATCGGTCGGGCTACGACGAGAATAATTCGTCTTGAGAGCGTTCCGTAACTCTCTCAGAGCGTTCCGGAACGGTCTGAGACACCTTCCAGAGCCGCCGGATCTCAGAGATTCTCGATTTATCCTCCCCCGACTGTATCCTCGCCCTGGCTTCGTGTTAGGGGGGACGGACGTCTGAGACCCACCCACGACCCCCGCCCCTTCACTCTTATGCGCAGTTGCGGAGGGGGGGCTAAATTGTTCTGTCGGACTCCCCCTGCCTCTCCACCCACTTTCCCAAGTTGTTATGAGTATTCCTACGTCCCCGTCCCTCCCCGCCCCTCATCCTGCAGTCATTTTACGTCACCACTCAAACTCTTACAGCACCACTCATCGAAACTCCTAGCCCTTTTTATCCTCCTTCGTCCGTCTTCCTACATGATTGCCCTCCTTGTGGTTCTCCTCCGTCCCCATCGTCCTCCTGCTTCTCTACCTCATCCACCGCCATCCTCCCTAAACGTCATCCCCCCCTCCTCCTGCCTCACCCTCGTGTTCCCTTCCAGCTCTCTGGTCCCCTCGCCCATCATCCATCACCCCGCATTGATCACCCCCAGTCCCTCCTTCCTCCTCTCTCTTCGAGGCGCCCTCCTCCCAACTACATGTTGGTTCCGCTCTCCATCGTCCTTCCTCCCGTCCTCCCCTTCCTTCCTCCCTTCTCTGCCCTTCCTTTTCCGTCTTGCCGCATCATTGTTCCCCGCCCCGATCTGATGGTCTTCCCTCCTCCATCCTTATTCGTACCCCATCCCTCCCCCTAGCCCGTCCTCAACCTGTCGTCACGCATCGTCCCCATCCTCCTCCCCCTGATCATACATCCTTCTTCCCTCTCCGCCTGGGCCTCGGTCCTTCTGCTTCCTCCCCCGTCCTCCCCGCTTCGTTCTGATGTGTGTTGTTGGCTCTAAGGCTTTTTAGGCCACCACCATGCGCCCCGCCCGCGCGACCCACCTGCGACACGCCTCGCGACCCGCGTCGCAACCCGCCGGCGTGCCACCGATGCGACCCGCCACATTGGCGTGAAAAGAGAATCTGCGCCTGCTGCATGCTGTGTTGCTGCTTTCTCTTGTTGGAACTGTGCGTGTTCTCATCCGTGTTGGAGCACACCAATGTGTGCCCTTGCCGCCTGCGGGACCAACTGACGATCCCCGCCTTTTCACTCTTATCCTGGGCCTCGGCCCTTCGGCTTTCTCCTACGTCCTCCCCTCTTTGTCCCGGTTCGTCTCATGCCTCCCACTGCCTCCGGCTCATCAGCCTCCCTCCTCCCCTCTGGTCCCACCTCCCCCTCCCTCCTTCCCTTTCCTCATCTTGCCGCCGGCTCCCTGCCCCGAGCCTCGCCCCGAAGAGGAAGATGAGGAGGACTTCGTTTCGGATTTCGTTTCTGCGGGGACGAGAAGCCTATTCTCCCCCCCCCCCCTCTCGCCCTTCCTCTTGCATCATCCCTCCCTCCTCCTCGGCCCCTGGAGTCCTCCGAGAACGTCAGGAAGCGCCTGACCCCCCGCCCCTCCCGAAAGCGTCCGACAGCTTCGGGATAATCCGAACTCAGCCGAGATCCTTCGGGAAATAAAACACCCGAAGTCTCTCTGGGTAGCCTCCGGCAGCTCCTGGGAGCTTCCTGAAGACGCTCGGGAGACTCGAGAGTAGCCAGAGACCCTTTCTCGTCCTCGTCGTCGTCGCTGCCGCAGGCGTATGGCAAGCAGAACAGCATGGGCACAGTGCAGAACACCGATGTCATGGGGCCGTCCCAGTCGTCGCCGACAGAGACCAGCCCAAGGCGACGCCAGCCCAGGGCGGGTCGGGGAGGAGGGGGAAGAGGGGGAGCGGGAGGGGAAAGGGTCTAGGGCCCAGGATTTTGGTCGATCCTGGCCCTTTGTCGAGCTCCGTGGGGAAAGGCGAGTGGGACGAGGAGGAGGAGGAGGCAGAGGAGGAGGAAGAGGAGGAGGAGGAGGAGGGGGAGGAGGAGGAAGAGCAAGAACGAGGAGGAGTGGCAGGTCGGTAGTCTTTCAACGGTCTCAGAAGCTTCGTGGCGAAGCAAGCGAAGACAAGGAGGGAGGAGGAGAAGGGGGAGGAGGAGAAGGAGGAGGAGGAGGAGGAGGAGGAGGAGGACCAGAAGAGGAGGAGGAGGAGAAGGAGGAGGAGGAGGAGGAGGAGGAGCTGGACCACTTTCCAGTAGTCGTCGGGTTTGGTCAAGCAACATAGGGGGGGGGGAGGTCGGGAAGTCTCCGGCGATGGTGCCCGGTGCTATTTCAGCAGGGTGCCATGCCGTCGAGGAGTTCATGGCGCTTGTCGCGGAGGAGCTCGCGCGCTGGGGGACGCACCGGGCGTCATTGCAGCCGGCGCCCGAGAAGGCAATATCAACTGCGGCCGAGGCTGCTTCTTGGCTGTGGAGGGCCGCGTGCTTCCTCGGCGCCGCGTGCGGGGGCATCATCCATGTATCTTCGGTGCGGCCTGACCATGCCCGGCGGGTGTCAGCTCAGAAGCTCTCAGCGCAGGCGGTGGACGAGAGTAGGCGTTGGCAAGCAGAGCGTGCCACGGCTGATGCAATGCGCAAGGCAGGCAAGTACATGGAGTTGTACGCGGAGGACCAGGCCGCAGCGGAGCGCTTCCTGAGCACCATCACTGCCTCGCGCGGGATCGGCCTCCCTGACGCCATGGAGGACAGCGTCACGAGTGGCAGCTTCCTCTTCGGCGACGACGTCCTTGCCGGCGCAGCGGAGTACATATCTCGCCGCGCGTGCGACCGCGAGGAGGGCATGAGCGCAGAGCAGAGGCAGTTGTTGAGAGACCAGGAGAGGAGGTGTGAGGAATTGTTGCGTTTCCAACGGCAGCGCTAGAGGCAGGCGTGGGGTCGAGACCACCGGCCCTATGTGCCCGGGGATTTGGAGGAGGCATGCGCGAGGATGAAAGTAGGGAAAGCCAGCGCTGGGCTGCCATAAGCATGCATCGAGAGCATGGCCCCAATGCAGTTCAAGCTGCAAGTTTGCATCCAGAACTTCGTTCGCTTCCTCAGGTCGGTACCGCGCCAGTGGAAAAACCAGCCCATCTTTCACCATAGGAAGGCGGGGCGGCCACAGCAGGCATATTCTAGCTACAGAACCTTGTCCACCAATACTGTGGAGTTGCGGCTGGCGGAAGAGTTGGTGGCTCTCCTCCGCAAGGACTCCATCTGGGCGGTGGCCAGACAGGCGCAGTTAGGCAGGGGAGACTCCTTGATTGCAGCGGCCATGGGGGTCGGAGGTCCGGCTCATCCGCGCTGACCTCGGGTTGCCGCTGGGCGAGTTGTTTACCGACCTCGCAGGGACCTTCGACACAGGTCACCCCCCAGCTCTGATCTTATCGTTCGCAGATGGTGCGGGTCTTACTAGAGAAGACCTGATGCTCGCCGCCGGCATGGTCCAGGGCTCTGCTGTTCACGTTGTGCCCCGCGCCGCCCAGTCGCACCCTGTTCATTTGGAGGTGGGAATGCCGGAGGGCAGGCGGCTCGCGCCAGCCTTCTTCGTCTGCACGGCGCAGTGCTTCAGCAAGGTCTTGGATCCGCTTCGATATGCTGGCGTCGGCCTCAACCCGTTTGAGGCAGCGGTGCTGGCCTACCACATGCATGCTCAGGCGGTGGCCAGCGACGTCATCCCTGGCATCCCTTGGTGCACCTCCGTGGCGGCTGCTTGCGAGCAGGGCCAGTGCGCGTGGGGGGACGCCATGCGCCAGGCCCCGTCGCACGCTGACCAGTGCAGCTTGCTGGACGTCGCAGCTCCTATCAGAATCGGCCTCACACAGTTCATCGACGACAATTGCTGCAGGAGCAGCTCCAGGGGCGGCCTCGTGATGAGCGCCCAGCTCGTGAGGAGCGCCGTCGCCAGCTTCCGCGGCTCGCTGCGCCTGGGGCCGGGGAAGACGGAGTGCATGGCGCAAGGCATCCCTGACGAGCGGCCCATTGATGACATCCACTTCGTTCAGCAGTGCGTCGCGCTCGGGATTCCCATCGAAGCCGGCGCGAGGATGATTGGGCTCATGAGGCGGATCGAGGGCCGAGCCCAGACAGCATGGGACAGCGCGCTCATGGGCATCGAGCTGTTGGGGCTCCCGCTGCAGGCGGCGCTCGCCTCCTTGCGCGGGCGCGTCCAGCCGCGCGCGTGCCACGGTACCGCTCTGCTGCTCGTGCGCGGCGATTGGGAGGCCAGGCTGGACGCAGTGTTCGACAGATGGGTTTCCAGGCTGCTGGAGCTTTCCTCCCCAGTCCCTCGCGTGGACCTCCTCCGCGAGGTCGGCAGACCCTGGCGGCTCAGCACGCGCACGCTGCGCGACGCGCTGGCGCTCCAGGCGAGGGTGGAGGCCCTGCCGATGGATTGCGACCCGCGGCGGGTTTCCAGTGTCGCCGCCGGGTGCGCCAGCTCCTGGACAGCTGCCGTTGGCCGTTGTGCTGCTGCCCTCCAGGTCCGCGGCTTCCGGCAGTGGGCAGCCGCCTCGTGCTCGCTGCAACCGCAGGACCTCACCAAACCGGCCTGGAAACGGTTGATCAAGAGGTACCTCCAGGAGGAGGTCGATCCGCGTCTCCACGCCCGCGAGATCCAGTGGCAGGGACAGGAGCGCACCAAGTACGCTCCAAGGGGCGCCGCTGTCGCCATCGACGCGGCGTCGCACTCCCTCGTGTGCCGGGCAGTGCGGCCGTGGGCATAGTTGCGCCTCCAGGGGCGGTTCTCTGTCACCGACGGCCAGGCCGCGCTGAAGTGCAGGTGGTGCCACCAGGAATGCGCCGACGGCAGCGCGCACTTCCTCGCA